GCAGGAATATTTCCTCCCAGCCCAGTAAGTAGAATGCACGGAATTTTCTGTTCTCTGTGCAAGAATATTTGCGAGGTGGAAGAACATGATCCATCTGTTCCAAAGAAGCTGCTGACCTAAAGGGCAGGTGTCCTTTCCTTGGCAATGGCTGCTCAGATAATCTCTTTTGCTTTCCAAGCCTCTTTCATCTGAGGTGTCCTAAGTTGCATTTCACAAGCAGCTTCCCAGACGGAGCAGCAGTTCAGGCCATAACCTTTCTTCCTTGACTCCCAGCTGCACATTCCCGCTGTGCTGTGACAGCCATGAGCCCACTTGGGAGACAGCCACTTTGCTCCCCTCGGCAGAGCAATGCTGGGGGCAGCCCCAGGGAAGTGGCAGGAGGCACAGGGAGGACCAACAGGACTGCCTGGCCTGCACCACCACTCAGTTGTGCTGTATGCACAAGGGAAGTCCCGTGAAACTGCTTTAATTAATCCAACAGTGCTCACGGACCACTGCTAATAGAAGGCAGAGTCCTTGCTCCCCTCCTCAGACCCTTCTTCTCAGGGCAAAGCATTACCTGCACCTCCCAATAATTGATTCCATTCTTTGGTTTGGACTCAGGTTAGTTTTCTGTTAATCTTGCGAGCTGAACCCACTCAGAGCAAAGCAGATGCCAGAGCTGGGAGAGGACAGAGAGCACTACAGCGAGAAGCAGAGAGCCGAGGGGAAGCAGCAGTGAGCAGTCAGCTCAGCTCAGCAGCACCCTGAACTTCACAGCCCTCCCCTGTTACCCAACGGCAGGGCCCCAGCAGGGAATGTTTCTTCTGCGGGTCAGCCCTCTCCAAGGGACACTAGCTAGTGTCCTCGGATGAAAAGGAGTGGGAAGTTACCTGTCTGGCAAAGCCTCTTTTTTGGTCTAGTGAAATAGGAAACCTGAAAATTAGTCTCTAGATCTGAAATACCAAAACACAAATCATCAGAAACCCTGACCCCTGCCAACTGCTCAATACTGTAGGGTTTACTTTCAGTGTGGGGCCATGAAGTCCTCTCTCGAGGAGCAGCACAGGCTCCAACGTGCTGGTGTCCACCCCCAGCAGCGGCTCCAGGTACCACGCCAGATCGCTGTGTGGCTGCTCTACAGCACACAGCTTGAGTTCAGCCCCAGCCCTAGAGTCTGCTGCCAGTCAACAGCTCAAGAGTTACCAGAAGGAAGTGAAAACTCAGAAACCAACAGTATGGAGCAGGCAAAAGGGAGAGGAACAGTTTCTTCACAGAGGATTAAACCTCCCCTAGGACTAAGTAATCTGAAGATAATGTGCATTTTGTAAGTATTTCTCTGAACGAGGCATGAATGTCTGAGGTGATACATATGGGTTGCTTTTGCATGTGTTCCTCTGAAAAGATGAATTTCCTCTCATGATGCCTTAAGAACAAACAAGTAAGTTGCATGCTGAACAAAACATTTCTGCATAGCTGGATCCTACGAGAAGAGTCATTTCAAGGAGCTGTGGGCTTCCTTCTCTCTCTCACCCAGGAGAGGAGGGAGGGAAAAGGTAGTGGGCAAGGTAGAAAGTACATCTGGGTCACTGCAGGGCCAAACATTAAAACAATAAAAGCCAGACTCAAAAAACAAAATGAAACAAAAAAAAGAAAGGGGCAAGAGAAATCCTTCCCCCCTGCCCCCAAACCAAATGACTGGCTCAGACCTAGGAGAATTTTTTAAATTACACATTCTGGTTTCCTCCTGCATCTTTAGGCTGCGTTTATTTTGTGCTCAGTTTAAAAAATTGGCCTGTTTGAAACGTGAAGACTGAGATTTGCCTGAAAACTCTTCATTCCAGGAACACGATGTTTCTGGAAGAGCGCTGAACCAGAGCACCACCCCAGCAGGCTCTGGCTTTCGCAGCTGTGCTGTCCTGAGCAAGCGCTGCTTGCACCCTCGCTGCCATCAGCTGGTCCCAGCCCCGAGCACAGCTCCCCGCGCCTTTGGCCGTGCTGCATGAGGGCTGCGCAAGCAGTGGCGGAGGTGAGCGTGGTGACTGCAGTCGGGATGGAGGGGGGAGCGCACTGCTGAAGTGGGGCACCCTCCCTGCCGTCCACCCTCTGCACAGTATGAGCCACCAATGCTGCGAGCCTCAGAGCTGCCCTTCGCTGCCTGCTGCACCGAGTCCTGGTGCAAGGGCAACCTCTCCCACGTGTTAACATACCAGCAACAGGGAGATAAGAAAAGCCAGATGCACCCACATTTGTTATTTAGTTCAGCTTTTGCCTCCCTAAGGATCTTTCCTATCCCAGGAAAGAGGCTCAGCTGGTTCCTGTTGTGTTTCATTACCAACCACCACCCGGCGGTGGCTCAACACCTCTAACACAGCCTCCCAAAGTCCTCCCCCCGCAACAAGGGCCGTTCTTCATAAAAGCACCTTGAGGCTTATTTTTGTATGTGTCTGCTATATGCAGTTCAATCCTAACAACACATGGAATAAACATGGGGAAAAAATGTCTTCACTGTGGAAAAATAACGTTTGCCCTGGATTCATCGTGCACTGGCTGCTTGGAAAGTAACAGTGCAACGTCACAGCTGGAAAGAGGAGACGGCGCGGGAGCAAAGCAGCCCACCGCCGGGCTGCCTTACGGACCCAGGCTGCTGAGGCCGCTACTCTTGAATCCTTATCACTTCTTGTCTTCAGGGAGACTAGGTAAAGGAGGACGGACATGTCACAGGAGGTGCCCCAGGGAGCATTTACCAGTCCCTGCACCACCACACCCCAGGTTAGCGCATCCTTAGGTAGGTCAGCTAACGCTCGACGATTAGTACCGCAGCGCTAAGAAAAGGAAAATCTGTTTTTCTGCTCTTCCAGATTTTGCCACCACATTACATGCTGCTTAGTCAATTCCTTGCTAATTAACAGCACCGTCCCTAAAGACTCCAGTTACCGCAGGCCTGTCGCAGCTTCGGGCAGGCTCTCGGCGGGGCCCCATTGCTTCCCGACACCGGCTGTCCCGGCCCGGGCCCCTCGCCTGCCTTCCTTCCCCGCCGCCTAGAGCTCCTTCTGCACTCGAAACAAGCTGGCTCCAACAGTGGAAAGGGCTAATCACAGCCAGACAGCACCGGCCCATGCCCCCCACCCTTCCCGCGCCACATGCCGGGCCCCCTCCTCGGCCCCCCGGTTTACGGCTGTCAGGTCACAGGAGCCCCAGCCCAGCCCTCCAGGACCGCAGCAGGGCCACCCACCCCAGCACACCCGCACCTGCCCCTCGGCATGTGGCACGTGACATCGTATCGGAAAAATAATACTAAGGGAGGTCCCCCCCCCACCACCAGCCTTCCCGCTGCTATTATAAACCTAATAATTACTCTGTCATTCTTCACTGCGTTTTCGCCTAATGTGTTGTTGGGAGGCCATACCCCACGAGTGCTTCATAGGTCAAGAAATGAAAGACCTGCACGAGGAAGGATACCTTCACAGAGTTTCTAGTTTCCACAGAAACGACTGGCAGACAGGAGAGGAGCAAGGGAACTGTGCTTAGCACCGTGCTTAGACCAGGGAAGGGGGGGAGTGAAAAGACAGAGCGTTTGAAGGGGGGATTCATAGGGGCCTGTCTCAGGCATCATGTCATTTCCCAAACAAAAGCCTCAGATATTTCAAGCTGTTATGAAGAAAAGGACCCACAAACCTCCCCCTTAGCCTCTTCTTATGGCCCGTGCCATGCCCACGGGGCCACAGCCTGCAGCACGCCAGAGTGAGGGCGAGCAAAGCAAAACCCCAACCCAAACCGTTCAGCATCTGTGGAGAACAAGGAAAGTGCCAGCTACAACTATTTGCAAGCCTTTAAATACAACAGACTCCTCGATCTGCATGAAATGTCTTCAGTGCAGCGATGTTTTCCTTAAGCCCGAGGAGGTCTGCGATGTTGTTCTTCCCTTGCAATGTCTGGGGTTTGTTAGCCCAGCAGGGAGGCACAGCCAAGAGGCACTCCCTGAGGCTAACAGAGCGCTATGTACTTACAGTTCTGGAGCACAGTCCTAACCCTGTGATGTTGCCCTTTTTTAGGGAATCATTCACACCTTATCTCTGCCAGCAACAGGTGAAAAAAGGCTGCACTTCTCCGAAGGCTTGAGCCCCCCAGGGAAAGGGGGGGCCCAACTCTCTCCCCTGCCCTCCGTTCCTTCTGCTAGGGCAGCACCAAGGGCTCCCCCAGCACACACCAGCTCCACCTTAACGTTAACCAAGCTAAACCAGCAAAGCAAGGGCACAGCTCATCGGGTTTTTTTCCCCCCTACTAGGCTCATTTTTTGCTCCTCATTACATAGCCCCATGTGCACTCATTCTGGAAGAGGATGTGACAACCCAGATGTGGGGCACAACTCCACAAAACAGACTGTTCCAATGTAACACTACCAAAGGAAGAGGCCCTCCTTACCTCTTGCTGCTCCTGGCCATCCCTTCTCATTGTTCCAGTTCACTCCGTGAGTCAACTTAACACTCTAAAACTGCAGAAAACTGACATAACAGAAAAAAATAGGTTCAGTGAGGTAGATCAGGTAATGAAAATGCAGGATGAATATCAGAGCTGGTGCAAGGTGAATGGGGAAGCCATACAAGCAGAGCAGGGGAAAGCAGGGCTGGGCATAGAGTCAGAGGAACAGCTCCTGTCTCCCTAGGAGCTGGGGAGCACCGTAGCACTGTGAAAGCACTCAGGATGTCACTGAGCCAGCATAGCTTTGGGATCGTGGCTAAATAGGAGGCACCTGGGGTGTGAGCAAGCCAGGCAGCCCACCGGGGGGTGTGTGGGGGGTGCAGGTGTGAGGCTTTCCCAGCTCATGCTGGCCTCCTTGCTGGGTGCAGGAAGAGCTCCCTCCATCTCCAGCAGACAGGGAAGGGGAAACCAACCCAAATGGCTTTCAGATGCCCTCTTGGCATATGCAGCCTTGCTGGTAGGAGCTCATTCAGTGGCAGAGCCTGGTTTTATGCCTGAGACTTGACTAAAAAGCCCATTTTTTCCCCACCTAGGCTCAACGAGGAGAGGCTCAGCTCCTTGTTGGCATGGCTGTGACCACTCTCAGCGCTGGGCTTCTACTGCTTGCTTCCCTAGCTGAGCCTCTGCCCTGTCTGATCCCATCATACTTGTGAGTAAGATATGGGTTGCCTCAGCCACTTTCTGGTCACTCTGAGGTTTTTGGTTCTTAGCTATTTTCAGATAGTTTTGCTCAGCCTAAGAGCAACGTTACTACTCCAGCGCTCAGAACTGCAGCACTAATAGTAAAGGTGTAATCTTTAATCAATCCCTCAACATAGATGACTTTATTGATTTGAAATAAGGCTTATTTCAAGGAAGTTTAACTGACTGCACATATGTTTTACCCAATCATGGCTTATTAATGATGATAGACTAACACAAAATTTCCCCAAATTAATATAAGCTCTGTGCAAAGCTATTTACATTTGGAATCCTCACGGGATTTTCCTTTGATCTAACTCAGTTTGGCTTTTAAAACGCTTGAAAATGAAATCAATATGGTTCTGATGTAGGTAAAGCCTATATTTTAACTCAAACCTTATCTGTTATATCAGAACTTGATGATGATGATAATTTGAATGATCCTGTTTGTATGGCAAATACATACTGTAGCTGCAGTCAACTTTTACAACGTCTAACTTAGACTGATATAATGTCTGGGTATCGTTTGTTCGACTATTAGATGGAGTAGGTACTGGAGTCCCTGTTTTATCCAAGTGGCCTTGCTGGCCACCTCCTTCAAAATAAAGTGATTCCAAGGTTCAGGCTAGGCTTGAGCTCTTACCGGGTCCAGAATTACTGCTGTGTCTAATTTGTTACTGTAAATATTTTATGATGCTAAAGACAGTATATAAAAAAAATCAGTGTGGTATTATGTTTGAGCGCTAGTACTATAGCTATGCAGTAGAAAGGACAACACCTCAATTAATTATGACAGCAGGCTTTTTCCTTGTCTGCTTCCATTTTTTTAAATATTAGTGCAGCCTGAGATTGGTCAGATCTGTAGGAGTCTTTCTGTAGATCATACTTACTTTGTTTCCAAATGGAACAAGTGAAATACATGGGCCATATTCTGCAAAAAATAAACTATTTTATCTGGAGCAGTTTTCTATTTCAAATGGAATCTCTCAAGATTTTTTAATAATTAAGATTAAAAAATACAAGAGCTTTAAAACAATAGATGATATGGATATAAAGAATATCTGAAAATCCATACCATGGTCATATTACTGAAACTTGGCTTGAAAGAAGTTATAGAAGTTATTATTTCTTTCATATTAACACTGGAATAAATTTGAGAACTACGTTGAGATGATACAAATGTATATATAATATTTGTTGTAGAAAATGAATGCCTCATTGTATAAATCGAAATGGATTCTTTATAATTTTGTAAGGAAATTCTCAGGTTGTTACTCAACAAGAACCTTAAGCCTGTGCTCAGTTTTCAGCAAAAAGACAATACAGATACATGCCTTAAATTAAGTAAAGAAAAAGCTAAGCCTCCTGGTATCCCATTAAGCAGAGTAGATGTACTTAAAAGAAAATAGGGGAGGAACGGTTTCTGATGGATGGTTAGTGGCAGCTTTTAGCTGAAGGCTTAATGGCTGTGTCCACTTAACTTCACTGATTTTCTTTTAGAGCTTGGACAAGCCAGCAAACCTAGAATATAAACAACTGGGGTGTGTTTTCCCCAGAAGAATTGGTCAATAACTGTCTTTGTTGACCCAAAAATATTTTCCTAGCAACACTAAAATCAACATAGATATTTATTCTGATTAAAATATGATGATTTTGTTGTTGCTTTCCTTTTGGAAAATAACTAAGAAACATACATTACATTAGGTTCTTTTAAAGATTCCTATGCAGAATGACTGGCAATTTGCACAAAAAAAACCTAATTCTAAAACTGGTTCTAAAAATGGTATGTATGTAGTTCCTTAAATGGGAAAGTCACTGACAGGACTGGGTAAATTTTGGCATGGAATTCCTTTATCCTAAATGGATCAACAGTGAGATCTGAGTCTAAGACTGGTTGTGTGGTGATTTCCTGGCTCCTGGAATTGCTGAAGAAGATTGCCAAGAAAGACTTGTTGAAGGATTTCAATTCAATCTACTGAAATACCCAGTAGACTAGCAATAGGGAGCCAGAGGTCTGGGAATAAAGATGAGACCTCACTGGATATGAGGCTTGGAACGGATGGCAAGTGCAAAGCAGTGATTGACACTTAGTCTGAAATTTTATAGCTCCCCCGGGCTGAGCTAAAGGCAAACCACAAATTCACAAATGCTGTGGTAGCACGTCAGGCTCCCTTTGTATCTGGCACCGTGCACTTCTGTGTGTGACCTATCCTGAAGGCAAGAAGCCCCAAGTTCTGGGTGAAGTACGGGGGATGCTGCCGGAGGCAAGTGCGCTCCCTCTCCGTGGCAGAGCAAGGCAGAGCTGCCTGCTGGTGCCGTGATGTGTAGACCAAGGGGGACCACCGAAACCCAGTCTGAGCAGCTCGCAGGCAGCTGGACACGGGTTAACATTTCTATCCCCAAGCATCTGTCAGCCAAGCGCAAGGCATCCTGTACTGGGAACCGTAACACAGGGTCAAAGTTTGTCTCTTCTGTCAATATTGTGGATAGTTATTGAGTGTTCATAATCTTTATTACTGGGAAAAGCGCTATATTCCGCCATCTCAGGTAGGCAATGTTGTGTGCATTACGCTTTGCAGCGCAGCCAGGAAGCAAAGCAAACGCCGCAGAGCCGGGTGAGCGGCACCGCCCGCTGCTCAGCAGGGCAGGG